AAAAAAATAAAATAAAAATGTTGTATAGGTATATTTAGATAATAGAGAAAGAAATGTGGAATTGCTGGTTCTTGTCATTTATTAATTTTTCCACGTGAATTTTTTTTTATAATTTATTTAGGGGGCAGAGAGGATGTTACTAGAGACTTTGATGTTATACTCATGTTATGTTGTTGGCGCAATGTTACGAGGAAGCTGCTAATAAAGTTGCATACGAGTACACAGTGGATTCACGTTTATTATTATATTTACATATTTACAATATAAACAATCTACGTACCCCCCCCCGGGCCGCGGTAAAATTGTCAAGCGTTGACCGGTCCGCAGTGATAATAAGGTTGGGGACCACTGTTATAGAGTAACTGCTGCCAGACGGGCTGCTACAAAGTGCTGAATGAAGGGTCTAAATATTTTGATTTTTGATTAATTTTCAGACAATTCTATGACCACAGCTTGTCATCATGGGTGGTTAATGATGGGTAGAAATAAATGGCAGTTCTGCTCAGTAAGAACTGAATCCAAAACACAATAAAATGTGCAAAATCCACTGCAATCATCACCAGTGTTGCCGAAATTAGCCTTCTATGCAAATTTAAAAAAAAATAGCAGCAGTTTGGCAAATAAAGATGTTTAGAGCATCCCTTAACTAAATTATTAATAACTTCCCTGCTGTGAGTTTACACATATGGTACAGATACAGAAGTACAGAAACGTTTCAAAACGTACTGTAGTAAATGAAGAAGGAAGCTTCGTGCCACAATAACAACATTTCACCCAAGTTGAACTCATTAATGAAACTATTTTACTGAAGAATTTTCCTTGAAGACTCCAAACACAAAGTAGGCCTGACTATATGGCGTGACGGAGTGTGTAGACAAGTGTGCAACAAGGACTAATAAGTATTCTGCAGGGGTGTGTAAACAGAGGGGCTGTTACTGTCCTAACAGAATGTAAACATGGGTTGTTTGCTACAGTGCACTGTTAAAGCACACAAGTCACCAGGCTCTACACCAGCTATGGAGAATCCTTTTGGGAATGTACATGTCTGCAGTCTCTGTGCACTCATCTCACTCGTCTGAGTTAAACAGTATGTGGCTTTGCAGCATTGTGCAACATCTGCAAAAACAAATTTATAGAATGACTCATCTTCTATGTCTTACACAGTCAAATTAACCAGTGTGTGTGTGTATGGATGTGAACTGTGTCTGAGAGGAAGGAAGTGGAGAAATAATTCAGGATACAATGAACTAATGTTTTGTTTAGCCCCACTGGTATACAAAATCTACTTTTTTTGTTGAATCAGCATTACATTTCATTTGTAACACACTTTGGCTTGCTTTAAGAGCACACACACACACACCACTTCAGACACAAATGCATTCACAACATAAAATGGGACTGATTGATTTTGGCAACACAGTAAATGACACTGATTTTATATTGTGCCTGCTGTGTTGTGTTTAAGATTTGCTTTGTTGTAATGTTGTTTTGGAGAAAATGAACTAGATAATTTGCCATAGTCAATAGTCTATACATTCACCTAATTATTTTTAGTACAAGGTCTAATTACATGCATGCTTCCTTAATGGGCCATAGTTAGAAAATTCCCTTTTTATCTCTCTTAAGTACTTTTTTGTATTGGCAACCAAGGGATTTACGTAACTGACAGTCAGGGTATTCTCTTTGATTAAAAGCACTTTACAACTTTTCCTTCTTTTTTCACTTCTCCTCATTACATTTTTAATCCCCCATTAGCTGTACCAGCTGATTTTTTTTTAAATGAGTCAGTTTAGGCTGTAAGGACGTTGTTTTGCAAGTCTTGTCCCTGGAAAAGACACATAAAATGTTGTGTAGTGTAGAAGTTGAGGTAAATGTTACACTGCTACACCAGTACACATTTGCATCTTCATTGCACCTGGCGATTATTTCCAAGTACGAGGTGAGATTCAACTCAAGTGGAGGACAAAAGGTCGTCTTCCACAGGTGTTTTATTCAGTCTGACATCCTGAGTGACAGCAGATTATTAAACAGAATTTATATGATGTTTAAACTCATATTCTTCTGAAGAGTAGAACTTTGCCAAGGTTACAGAACAATGGCTTTTGTTTGCAAAGTGATGCAGCTCAATATCTCCCGTCTGCTCCCAATTAACACTCTCAATAACAAGCATTTTACTGTAGTGGGACCATTAAAGAAGCAGTAGAATAAACTCGTTTTTCTTCCTCTCACACTGACAGTGCCATTGTATACTTGTGCAAGTTGGAAAAAAGTTTTTCCTCTATTTTATGGGTTCCATTATGTTTTTTCTCTCTTTGTCCTCTGCTCTCTCTAAATCTTATTCACCTCAGCTGTCTCGTTTCTTTCCTATTTCCTTCTGTCCTAGCTTTTTTCTTACTTACTCTACCGTACTTCAACCAATTATAAACCTGATTCCAATCTATCGGTAAAGGAAGAGTATGTCTTGTATGACCAATAATACCTTTTTTCTCTATTAAATTGCAGAATAAAGTGTGTACAGGGTGTTGTTACAAATCTTGCAGTAAAATGTAGTTTTGGTCTGTTTTGATGGCCATGTAAAGAGCAGAGCATGGTGTGGCTCCTAGCTACATATCAGACCTTTTTAATTACCCATGAACCAGTGTGCTGCTTCAGATCCCCAGGGATGACGGTCTGTGGATTATGAGTGGATTAAAAGGAAGCTGTTCGTATCAGACAGTAAATATCTACACATGAATAAGTAGAGGAAAGCGTCAGCGCTCCAGGAAAAAAAGAGCCATGTTGATGGCACATTCTGAGCCTTAGTACTGATAGTGCAACAGGAAAAAAGCATGCCAAATTACCTCTTAGCAGTTGGTATTTGCAGTGCACCAATGGATGTACAGACAACTATCAGTGGATTGCTTTGATACTGAAAGAAATTTTAAAATGTGATGATTCTTAGGCAAGTTGTGGAGTTGAAAGGACTGTCTTTATTGTGATGTTTCTAAGAGGACATTTATTTGTGATGGACATCTAAAATAATGTTTTTCTTAGAAACAGTAAGACCCTTGTGTCTCTACTCCATTTTCTATCTTTCAACAGGTGACTATGTGTTGATGACAGTGTATTTTGACCTAAGCAGAAGGATGGGCTACTTCACCATCCAGACGTACATCCCCTGTATCCTGACTGTGGTCCTCTCCTGGGTTTCCTTCTGGATCAAAAGCGATGCTTCGCCCGCAAGGGTGGCCCTAGGTAAACAACGGCACCACTCACGTGGCTTTATTTTCCACAGATCCCATATAGAGACTAAAACCAACAACAGGTTTTGTGTACTCACTGTAATGTTCCCGAATTCAGAACCTGGTTTAACTTATTTGTCGGTGCCACAGACCTCCATGTTTTCTTAAAATTATTAAAACCCCACCAGTGAGCCACACTGCTGCACTGGGTGACACACTGCTTTCTCACAAAACACACAGGGTACTTATACTGTTGACTCTTCCTGACTTCAGAGGCTGTATAATATAATGTCGATTTGGAGCTCTTTTAAAACAAAAAACAAAGATGTACCTCACATGTTTCAAGAGAAGGGAACATGTCACCCAGTGCAGTGGTCTAACTGTTGCCAGCAAAAGAAATCATACTGGAATACTTGCACACAACTCCACATTGCTGTGGAGTGTGTGAAGATGACAAATGAAGAAAAAGCTGTTGTGTATCTGTCTATGTGTGTATTCACAAATATGTTTGACCGTAACTTTTGCTGTGCATTAAGCCGTACTGAAAATCTATGGGCCCATCATTGCTGCTTGTTTCCTTTTCCTCCTTTAATTTTTTTTCGCATCAGTTGACATTTGCATTATCCCCTTCCTGCGCTGCATGCCTGCCATTAGTTCATTTGCTTTCCTGTGGATGATGTTGTGGAAGGCGCTGGTGGTTTCCTGTTTGAGGTACAGTTTAAGGTAAGTGTTTGACAAGTTTGCGATCATATACAGTGCTCAGCATAAATGAGTACACCGCAACAGATTCATCAGAAAACCTTAACTTTCCTTTCAAAATCAACATTTTCTATGGGACACTATGCTCCAAAATACTCCCACAAATGCAGGTCACTGAGTGCAACCAAGATTTGTTATTGTGCACATACCATACCATACCATACCAACTTTATTTATAAAGCACTGAAACAACCGAGAGGGACCAAAGTGCTGTACAGTGTGATTAACAATATACATTAAAAATAAACACAATTTACAAGGACAGATCTAATCAACACCAATATCAGGCATCAGTCAATACATATAAAATCAACACAAAAATAAGATATCAATCAATACAGATAAGATCACACACAAAATGTATTTTCCCTAACAAATTCATTCAAGACCATGTTGCAAAAATGAGTACACCCTAATGAAAGTCTTAGGAGTGAAGCTACATTTTAGACAACAAAATCCTTATGAATAAGAATTCAACTACAGGTGAGTCTAATTATTCATTAAGCAGGTGTCCAGCAGACAACTGATTATAAAAGGGCGATACTTAACAAAGAAAACCCCTTCCCATTTCAAGCTCTCAGCAATGGCACCGCATGGAATAGAAATGTCACAAGGCCTAAGGAAAATAATTTTTTTACACAGGGTAAAGGCTACAAGAAGATCAGCAAAGCTGTACTTATCAGTCAGAATACTGTAGCAAAAGTGGCACCAAAATTTAACAAAGGAAGCCTCTCCTAAAGCCCATGCACAAAAAATTTGCCTAGAATGATAAAAAATAGGAAGACTCTGAGACTCTATACTCTGGAGTGATGAGACCAAGATAAATGTTTTTGGAACTGATGGCTTCAAAACTGTATGGCGTCGCAAAGGTGAGGAGTCCAAAGAAAAATGCATGGTGCCTACAGTGAAACATGGTGGTGGCAGCGTCCTTCTGTGCGGCTGCATGAGTACTGCTGGTGTCAGGGAGCTGAATTTCATTGATGGTATAGTGAATTCACAGATGCACTGCTCTATATTGAAAGAGAAGATGCTACCATCACTCCGTGCCCTTGGGCATCATGCACTTTTCCAACATGACAATGATCCAAAACACACATCTAAGGCCACTGTTGCATTTCTGAAGAACAGGGTGAGAGTGACTCAGTGGTCAAGTGTGTCTCCTGATCTGAACCCAATCGAACACCTATGGGGAATTCTGAAGAGACAAGTTGAGCATCACTCTTCATCCAGCATCCAGGCTCTAAAAGAGGTCGTTCTTGAAGAATGGAAAAAGATAGATGTTGCAATATGTCGCCAACTTGTTCAGTCCATGCCTAGAAGACTTGATGCTGTCCTTACAACTCATGGAGGTCATACAAACTACTAGATGTAGTAGTGTTGTGGGGTGTAGTCATTTTTGCAGCAACTAATTTGAGTAAAACTGTAGATTTTGCAATCTTAAGTTATATTATTAACCTTACTTTCATGTAATGAGTTAAGCAAATGTTCTATACAACTCAGTTTGTCCAAATTTTAGAAATTGTTCTTGTGTTCATTGAGATATTGATTAAAATCTTACTTTTTAAAAGGGGTGTACTCATTTATGCTGAGCACTGTATATTTTTGAGGGATTTAAGTAGCATTGTTTCCAGATACATTGAGAGTTTAAAGCCCAGGGAGCTGCCAATTAAAGATGCAGTCAGTGATTCTAGCAAAATAATTACATTTTGAACACCGTGTACATGAATCCACAAGTCATTCAGGCCTGTAACAGAGTGAGCACAGCACACGCACATGGGGTTTGTGGAGCACACAAACTGAAAGGCCAGGCAGAGAAATGTGAGGAAAATTTAGCAGAATATTATAAAATGTGTAACGACTTAGAATAGCTGATGATACCTTTAATCCAGCTGGGGTGGTTTGTCCAAATGATTTGCTCTCTGGCACTTTGGTAATACTTAACCTCCACCGCCCACATTTTCTCACTTGACCCAAGAACTCATCCAACTTCTCCGGCCTCCAGCCACTTTAGCCCACACTGTCACCCACATCAAGACAGCACACAACTCAGAGGTACTTTAATTCCACGTAGTCCTTGCTGCCTTTCATCAGCCTGTCAGTCAGCCAGTTTCACAGAAGGTCATCTGGAACGTGCTGGTGGTAATAAAGAAGTTATATTGGAGTTCTCTCCTTCCCTGTTCGTTATCAAGCCCAGAGAAAAAACTTTAGCAATAGCTGAACAATGAAGTCGTCTCACATTGCATCAAATTCAGTAATAAGCCAATGTTATTACTAAAGTGTGCACCGAGGTATACAGAGCCTTTAATGAATGAATGATCATAATAAGAGATAGTTTTAAATGGGTTGTGCTCAGCTTAGTTTTTCTGTTGATGAAAGTTGACACGTTGACAGTTCAACTTGAAAACCATTTTCAGATTGTTACAAAATGCTGTTGTAGGTATGTGCTGTTGTACTCCTGCTAGTAGATTCAGATAAATAGGATCGATTTTAATTCATATTAATTTGACTGGATTGTAATACTTGTGTGGGAAGGATTTAGGATCATTGCGTCACAGCTACAGCAACTGCTGCTAACACTGGGGGCAGCTGTGGTTGTACCATGCAAAAAGCTGCCCCCAGTGTTTGTGTTGGAGACAGCAACCAGAGGCAGTCGAGGCTTACAGGGCGTGAGCGGTGGTGCGGTACATTACCAAAGTCAGTGAAAGGCTTGTGATCTCCCTCAGACAACAGGTAGCACAGAAGAAGCAAGCTGTCCACCTCCTGATAAACAGTCACACTCAGCCTTTCCACTCTTGTACATCAGCCCCATTTACAGGTCAGCCTGAAACCTGATCCCAGGGCTGAAAGGGGAGAGGAGAGATAAGAGGAACAAAAGCAGGTGGCAAGAGAGCCACAAAACAAGCATGTAAAGAAAAGTGAAGGCCTCTGGCACATAGTACCAGGGAGAAATGTCAGAACAGGGGAGGAGGTTCAGACACATCTCAGAGAGGTTAAAGTCCAAGAAAAAGGCTAGTCTCACACCTCCAGGTTGTGTGACTTGTCAGGCTGCTAACATGTTCCTGGTGGCATTTCCCGAGAGCTGTCACTCACCTATTAGTGCCTGAGCAGCAGGACATTTGGATGGCAGCAGGCTGGAAGTAAGGGGGCTGAGCTCAGGTTGATTCTCATTAGACCTCAATCTCTGCAGCTCCGATGGGTCCTGACAGATACGCAGGGTTGTAGATGGGAAATAAACCCACCTCAAGACTGAAGTTGAGAATGTAGTTCTTGAGAGGGAGGGAGGGAGAGATGATGTGGCTCCAAAGTTAATTGAACAGAATGTCAGAATTTGCTGTATTACAGATTATCACACGATGCTGCTCCAGTTCATTTTAAGGCCAGATCACAAATCACAAAAAAATATGCTTTTCCAAAATCTAGCAGTGCTGAGTATCTATGAGATAGTTGTCATCACCCTACTAAAATGGAGATGCATGGGAGCTACTGCTGAAAGCGTTAGAAATGACCACCATCACAGCGACATATCTTTAAGGGGAACCCCACTGATTTTACACAGCAGAGTCTATTTACATGCAGCAAATGCAGTGTTGGACAGTAACGCATTAAAGAAACCACCTCTAGCTGTCAGTAGGAAACAGAAATTGAACAGTTGTCTCCTGTAGTTGACATTTTGTTGAACCATCCATCCACTACAACCCCCTCCCTCTGCAGTAACCACACTATTTCCTCCTTTGCGCCCAGTGGAAAAAGCCATAATACCTAGGGCCACTGGAGAAACAGCCACTAGAGCGTGAGCATTTGTCATTTTGAGACAGTTTTGGAAACAGCTGATGCTGTACTTTATCTTGGATGGACAGTCTCGGCTACCCACAGACCTCACTATGGACAGTTTTCCACCAAAGCCAAACAACACAGTTTGCTTAGTATTAATCTCAAATATTGTGCCCGGACTAGCAGCGAGTACTGGCAACCAATGAAGCTTGTTTCTCACAACATGGGTGTGATGGGGGGAAAGAGAGATTTTAAAGCCCAGAGTTTCCCTGCGAGAGCTGTCATTCACCCAAATGCTTGTCATTGGTGATTTTTTAGCTTGGCTGTAAGAGCTGACAATGTTCCTCATGGGACCTCTACCAAGAAGGCAGCCAGTTAAAGACAGAAAGCAGTACAGAGATATCAGTCCCTCCAAGTGTGCTGTGAGGAAACAGAGGAATCTAAATCAGGGCCTATATGATGAGCTGTGTGTTGCTCCCAAAG